GCATGCAAGGCAAGCGCTCTACCACTGAGCCACCTTCCCAGCCCTCAGAGGGGCTTTCTGATTCACCATTGACCCAACTCTAAATCTAGGCTCCAAGTTGCTCTTCTTCCTTCCTTTCTTCCTTCCTTCCTTCCTTTCTTTCTTTCTTTCTTCTTTCTGTCAGTCCTGGGGCTTGAACTCTGGCTTGGGCGCCGTCCCTGCACTCTTCAGCTCAAGGGAAGCTCTCTACTGCTTGAGCTACAGCACCACTTCAGATTTTCTTTTTTTTTTTTTCCCGGTCATGGGGCCTGAACTCTGGGCCTGGGCGCTGTCCCTCAGCTCTTCAGCTCAAGGCGAGCGCTCTACCACTTGAGCCACAGCGCCACTTCCGGCTTTTATCTTTTTGCTTATATGGTGCTGAGGAATCGAACCCAGGGCCTCATGCATGCAAGGCAAGCGCTCTACCACTGAGCCACCTTCCCAGCCCCCCACTTCAGATTTTCTAGTGATTTATCGGAGATAAGAGTCTCATGGACTTTCCTGCCAGGGCTGACTTTGAACCATGATCCTCTAATCTCAGCCGCCTGAGTAGCAAGGATTCTAGGCATGAGCCACCAGCGCTGGGCCAAGTTGCTCTCCTTTTGAATTTTTTCTTAAGTCTTATGTTTTTCTTAAGTTCAATATTAGGAAATCTGAAGGCCATCTCAGGTAAAAGTAGACCAGGAAAATGAGGCATGGGAAACAGTCACCAGGAATTCAGAGATAAACACTCTATTAATGAACAGCTTGCTTAAAAGCAAACAGGCATTATTTTCTTTGCTTTAAGTCTGATAATCACTCATCAGCTTCACCCTTTAACAAAAATGGAAGAGAAAAAATGAAAAAGAGCAGCTGTCTCTCCCCTACCCCCCCCTTGTGTATTTATTCAGACATGGCATAATGACCCAAACTTAATAGGCACACCAGTTTTGATATCCCTGGGCCTAGCTGGTAAAAGTGTAACAGCAAAATGACTAAATATATCAAAAGAGAACACTTATCCTGAAGCAGATTTGAGCCAAACCTTGAACTCACCTTTTCACCAAAAGTATCTGTGATGTTAGAGCACTCATCGCTCTGTTATCAAGTGTGTCCACACTCCTGTCTGGCTTTTGTACTATCTTTCCATCTTTGCTCTGTTGTTTTTTTTGGGGGGGGGTCCGGTCGTGGGGCCTGAACTCTAGGCCTGGGCGCTGTCCCTCAGCTCTTCAGCTCAAGGCTAGCACTCTACCACTTGAGCCACAGTGCCACTTCTGGCTTTTTTTTCCTGCTTATGTGGTGCTGAGGAATCGAACCCAGGGCCTCATGCATGCAAGGCAAGCGCTCTACCACTGAGCCACCTTCCCAGCCCATCCATCTTTGCTCTGCTAATAAACTTTCTTGTTCTCTACTTCCATGTGTCCTAAAATTCTTCTTTTTTTTTTTTTGTCTGTCAGTCCTGGGGCTTGAACTCAGGGCCTGGGCATGGTCTCAGAGCTCTTTTTTTTTTTTTTTTTTTAAAGCTTAAAGTTAGTACTCTACCACTTTGAGCCACAACTCCACTTCTAGTTTTTGAGTGGTTAATCAAAAATAAAGAGTCTCATGGGAACTTTTCTGCCCAAGCTGGCTTTGAATGCCAATCCTCAGATCTCAGCTTACTGAGTAGCTAGCAGTACAGGTGTAAGCCACTGGAGCCTGGCTCTAAAATTCTTTTTGGCAACAACATCAAAAACTTGGTTCCCAGGGTCCAGGTAAAGGCATTCTCCGTTTTGGAGACCTCCTCCCTGAAACATCATCCAATTGTGGTATTAAATCTAATTTTTGTTCCTTCCTTGGTCCTTGTACTACCCAACTGCTTGAATGTACATGTGATGGCTGGAGCTTTAGCTGCAATCTTGGACTGTGGACAATGCTCATTGTGTTTATGCCACTGTTATTCAGTGTTATTTGAACGGAACTGAAATTTAGCCTTTAAATCTGCTTTGTTTTATACTTTCCAGAAATGTAATTTTTATTTTTCCCCCATGAATTCAGGTTTTCCTGAGTATCGGCTATCAAGGCAGGCAACAGCCTCTCCCACCCCTCCCCCGGGAGACTAAAATCTGCACTCTACCTTGTGTCTCTCCTGAGCTTAGGAATAGACCTGGGGTGAAAATTGCTGCTGTGTTACAAGGTGAACCTGGCCACACCCTCTTTGTCAACATCCTATGACACTGTGGCCTCCCTACTGCTCTTTTCAAAAGTGAGTCCAGTGGTTATAATCCCTGCCCTTGAAGAGGGTTTCAGGACTTGTGTTGTTTCCCATCTCTGATTGGCAGGCTGGGTCTGCATCCTGGTGTGCTCTGATACCTCAGTGGGGTGGTGCTAGAGTGGGTACAAGTCCCAATGGACACAAGAGCATGGGGAACAGTAGTCACTCAGCCTCACTCTCTCCTATTTGGCACTGAGGTGGGGGAGGGGGGAGCGCCTGAGGGCTTCTTCTGTCTTTCCATTGGTTTCTCAGTCCTTACTAACCCCTCCCCCTAGGAGGTGTAGCCTCTGTGGGTGTGGTCAGGGTTATAAGCAAAGGAAAAGGCCAGTGCCTCAATTACCACATCAGCCTGCACTGGTTGTTTTGGGGAGGTTTTTTTGGTGGATTGTTTTGTTTTCTTTTGTCATTGTTTGGTTGTGGGGCTTGAACTCAGGGCCTGGGTTCTGTCCCTGAGCTCTTTTGCTCAGTCTACCTCTTCGAGCCACATCTCTACTTCCAGTTTTCTGGTGGTTAATTGGAGATGAGGGTATCAGACTTTCCTGCCCAGGCTGGCTTTGAACTGTGATCCTCAGATCTCAGCCTCCTGAGTAGCTAGGATTACAGGTGTGAGCCACCAGCATCTGGCTGTATGGTTTTTTTAATAACATCCATCACCATCTAAATTGTCTGTCGTCCAGCCCTGGACTAGAATGCCAGCTCCATGGAGGTGCACTCCATGGCTTTCCCCCCAGCACTGGGCACAGTGCACACTGGAGGTATGCTGATCCTGCTCCAAATCTGGTGCTTTTCCCACCCACACTCTGGTCTCTGCTTGGAGCACTGAGGCACCTCCCAAAGGAATCCAAGACAGTGTGTAAAGACAAAAAGCCTCACAATTGGATCAGGTCCTTCCTCCAAACATGGGCTACAACAGTTGCTGAGTGATGAGACTTAGGGAAGGGCTGCATCTTCATCCCAGTGAATCACCACTGCCTGCACACTGTGTGTGTGTGTGTACTCAATGCTGGAACTCTACCACTTGAGCCACAGCTCCATTTATGGCTTTTCAGTGGTTAATTGGAGATAAGAGTCTTATGGACTTCCCTGTGCGCACACTGACTTCTAATCATTATCCTGAAATCTCAGCCTCCTGAGTAGCTAGGATTACAGTGAGCTACTGGTACCTAACCACATTACTCTTCTGGAGAGATGTAGCAGAATTATGGGGCACAGGAAGCAAGGCAAGCAGAAGAGGAGTTGGGGCTTATTTACACCCCGAGGACAAGGCTGGCATTAAATAACATGTTACTGGGGATTGAACTCAGTTTCTACCACTTGAGCTGCTCCCGCTCTTAACAGATTTTTGAAACCTGGAGCCTTTGGTCTATTGATGCACCCCAGAGGGGGAAGTAAAGAGCCTTCGGTACCAATCACAGTAGCTATTTGAATGTAACTGGCATGAAATGGCATAAAAAGTCCCCCTGAAGCGCCAGCCTCCTTTAAGTGGCTCATTTCTAGCACCACAGAATGTCCTGTTGGGCAAAAGTGAAGTAGAATGGAGGAAATGCGTTCTGCTTCTGACTGACCAACAGATACAACCCCCCCCCCCCTTTCCAGGCTAGTGCCCACACCAGTGTTCCGACCCGCAGGACGTCAACCAGGGCAGTGAACCTAAGCTAGAAGGAATGAAGGGACAAGAGACACGAAGAATGACAGCAAGACAAGGATTCTGATCAAGCTGCAAATTTTTATTTTTCACACAGGGGTATTTATATGCTTGGAATAAGGAAGCTTTTTCATTGGCCGTTAAGGAAGCTTTTTTATTGGCCATAGCAGTGCAGGATGTTTACTTAGGGCAGGGGGAAAGGGTGGTCGTTAGCAGTTGCAGGATGTTTACTTAGGGCAGGAGGAGGGTCGGATTCTGTAAACTCAGCCTCTCAAGATGTTCCATTGAGATAGTCAAGCCTATTATGTTGAGAGACTCAACTTTTGGCTCCCAACACACCAGCCCCCTAGTTTCTGCCCTGTGGGGAGCACCAGTGCGCCCTCTTTCTTTTCATCTCCCGAACTCCACAAGGATTTGTGGAAATGAAGAACCTTGGACCCATTTTCGGCAAATGCCGAAGCTTCAGAAAGAAGAGTTGGGGCGTCTGGAGTATTCCCTACTCCCCGCTTTCCTCCCACCTATCTGCCCTGGTCCACTACACTCCACAGCTCAGGGGCGCAAAGAGAGCCAAGCCCTAGCCCTGTCCATGGGGGAATCCCTTCCAAGTGGTCACAGATCACTTTTGTTGTTGGGTGTGGGGCTTGAACTCAAGGCCTGGGCGCTGTCTCCAGCTTTTTCCGTTCAAGGCGAGCCACAGTGCCACTTCCGGTTTTTGAGTGGTTAATTGGAGATTAGAGATTCACGGGGACCTTTCTTCCTAGACTGGCTTCGAACCGCGATCCTCAGTTCTCAGCCTCTTGAGCACCTGGGGTTCCAGGCGTGAGCCACCGGTGCCCGCCTGCGCGGTAATCTTGACTTCCCTACTCTCGGCTGCCCAGAGTTTGCACCTGACGGGTGCTCAGTCAGTACCCGCTGGCTGGATGAATGAGTGAATGAATGAGCGATCCCTGGACGCTCGGTTTCCCCGCGCTGACCCCTGGAGCTGCGGAAGGATCAGCCTCCGCGGGCCCGGGGGTCCGGCCGGCTCAGCCCTCGGGGGCGTGTCCTCGGGCCCCGGCGGGGGAGGCGGGTGCGCGGGCGGCGGCGCGCGGGGCGGCCGCGGCGAGCATGGAGCGCGAGCTGGAGGCGCTGGTGGCGCGGCCCGGGGACCCGGCCGAGCCGCCCTTCCAGGCGCTGGTGGAGGCGGCGGGGGGCCGCGGGCAGGTGCTGCTGGTGGGCGAGCTGTGGGAGCGCGAGCAGAGCCGCGCCCTGCTGCGGGACTTCGCCCGCGCCGTGTTCCCGCCCGAGCCCGCCGGGGGCCCTCGGGGCAGCGCGGAGGCCGAAGCCGTGGGCGCGGGCCCGGGCGCGGCGTGCGGGCCGCGGAGGGCCCCGGGGGCGGAGGCGACGCGCGCCATCCGCTCGCCGCTGGTCTTCGTGCTGTGCCGCGCGGCGTCGCTGGCTGCCCGGGAGCCGCGGCGCCGCCTGCGGGAGATGCTGCGGGACGTGCGCGGCCGGCGGCGTGCGGGCGCGGCGCTGGTCGGGGTGCTGGTGGCCGAGGCGGGGCCCGAAGACGCGGCGGCGCCGGGGCTGCGGCGGCTGGAGGCGCTGCTGCGCGGCGTGTTCGGCCGCCAGGTCGGGGGCCCGGTGCAGGCGGCCGCCTACTGCCCCGCACGCCCGGCCTCCAGCCTGGCTGCGCAAGCGGCCGCCTGCAGGGCCCTGCAAGCCGCGGGACCCGGACGGCCAGGTGAGGCACGGGCCGGCTGGGGACGCCCCTCTTTCGATCGATTTTTTTCCCCTTCGTGGGGCCCCGGGGTAAACCGAGGCCTGGAAAGGGGAAGTGACCAGCCCCAGATCTCCCCGCTGAAGGGATTCCAGCCGGGATCCCGCGTGCTCGCGGGACGCGGGACCTGGGAACGCCTGGGGACGGGCAGAGGGCGGGGCGGTGGGTCGGAAAGCGCAGACCTGGGAGTTGGGGGATGGGGGGAACCTAAGGGAAAAATATAGAAAAATACTGAGATGCAAATCGAGGGGTGATGCGCTGCGGGGAGTCGGGGTGGAGAACTAAAACTGGGGGCGCCGGTGCCTGGAGCGTCCCGAGCGCGGCGCGGCTGGGACGTGGGAGGAGCCGCGGGGAGCAGCGGCGGACGCTTACGGTGGAGGCTCCGCGGTCGCGGGCCGAGGCAAAGAACGGGTGCGGGGCGCGGGAGGGGCTTGCGGGTGCTAGGGCCTTTTCTGGTGATTCCCGGCTTCCCGCCTAGGTTCGGCACTCACTCCCCAGGGTGTGCGGAGACTGCGTGTGCGCGCGCGTGCGTGCCTGTGCTGGGCCTTGAACTCAGGGCCTGGGCTCTCACCCTGAGCTCTTTTGATCTAGGCTAGGGCTCTACGATTAGAGCCGCACCTCCACTTCTGGCATCTTGGTGGTTTGTTGGAGCTGAGTCTCGCTGACTTCCTGCCGGGCTTATCTTTGAACCGAGATCCTCAGATCTCTACCTCCTAGGTAGCTCGGGTCACAGGTGCGAGCCCCTCCCCCCCCCCCCCGCGCGGATGCGGAGACCCCGTTTCCATTCCACCCTTTCCTGGGTGCGGAGGGGATATGCGGTCCTCCGCAGATGGCTCAAAATCCCATTCCAGGCTTCGAATGCGCCCTTTAAGTAGAGCTGAGTCTGATAAGATGGAGGCCTTTGCGCTCGTCCCTGCCCCTTCCACTGCTCCATCCGCTAAAGACCTAGTGGGGGCAGGTCAGGTGGCTGCATTGCAGAGCCCCGGGTCGTCCCAAGTGTCCGTTTTTGGGGTGACAGCCATGCACGGGTGCGGGAGGGGCTTTCTCAACATTGACAAGTGTCCAGTGTGCACTTGCCTGCGGGATGAGGGGAGCCGGGTCCCCAGGAGGGAGCCCTGGCCTTCCCTGCCAGACCACACCCCCTTTCTGTGAGGCTGCGTGGGAAACTCCCCCTCCAGCATCCTGAGACCCAAGGATTGTCCGTACTGTGTCCTTGGGTTCCATCAGCCTTTTCCCTTCCCTGGCCCTGGGAGAATGAAGGGAATACACACCAATTTCTTGCACCCAACGAGCTGGCGTCTTGAAATTTCTAACCTTAATCTAAATCTAAGGCTTCCTCCAATCCCACGGAACAACTTTTAATTTTTCACCTGTGCACTTGCTTCGCCTCCTAAGGTTTTGTACACCTGGTTCTTACCTGGGCCTGAAAAGCCTTTTCTTCCCTTCTCATCTCCATCACTCCATTCAGAAATGGACTTTCTCCTTCAGGCCTTTCTGAAAACCTGGCTGGCACTCTATCGTGGGCAAGTTCACCAGTGAGGTTCCCACCAGCTTTGGCGTTAGTCTTTAAGTCATTTTACAAAAGGGTTTCAAGCCCCAAATCTTTGCCCTCCTGTCCTCTAAGCTCTCAGCACCTGATTTTTTAAATTTAATTAATTTTGTAAGTGTTCTCTTGAGAGTTGAACCTTACATTCCATTTTTTTCCTGCCTCACCTGAAGAATGGGTGAATACCCTTTTCACACACACACACACACACACACACACGCACACACACGCACACACACACACACACACACACACACACACAGGGACCTCCAGCTTTTGCTTGGCTTTATTTTTTTTCTCAAGACTGGGACTCTCCCACTTGAGCCATACCTCTATTTCTGGCTTTTTGTTGGTAATTGGAGATGAGAGTCAAAGACTTTCCTGCCTGGGGCTGGCTTTGAACCCTGATCCTCAGATTGTAGCCTCATGAGCTCTGAGGACTACAGTGTGAGCCACCAGCAGATAGGTCTTTCCTCCTTCTAGATTAAACAGGAACGGTAGAACAATTTGCAAAGTCCTCTATTAAGTGCTTTCTCCTTTTATGGACATGAAACCTTTTATTAATAAGTAAAGGTCCTGTCTCATGGTTGCTCATTCCTTTTCAGTTTTTGCAGTGGGCAGCACTGGTTCCCTTCCACCCCTAGCCTGGCTCATACTGCTAAGCTTTCCTTAGCAGTTACTGCGTTTGCCAAAGTTTCCCAGCCTCTTTCCTCACTGCCTGATGACGATGCTTGTTTTATTAGCTTGTTTGCCTTGTGACAGGGTTCTTTTGCCCAGTTTCTGTTACCTAATTCAGCTACCTTGGGTTGAAAACCTAAGGCTCTAGGATTCAGTCTTGTTAGAACTGGGTGCACATTAACAGTAAATCACCAGTGGGTAAAGATTACGGAGGGGACTTGGGGGAAGGATTCTATTGTTTTGAAGTGTCCTGCTAATAAATGGTTAGGCAAGTGCTCCATGTTGAGCTGCACCCCCAGCCCCTTTTTACATACTGTCCTGATGGCTTTATTCCAGACTGTGAAGATCTCAGATAAATCCAAGAGAACTAATTCATGCCGTAATCGTAATAAGACAAGTTAGATTATTTCAAGTTTTAGATGTGGTTATCAAAAAAGATGAAATCTGTTCACATTAAGAAACAGTCTGGGATAGGGGAGGGGGGGAGGGGCTCATGTCTAAAATTCATAGCTCCTCAGGAGGTTGAGATCTGAGGATCTCAGTTCCAAGCCAGCCCAAGCAGACAAGGTAGAGAAACTCTTACCTCCAAGTAATCAGCCAAAAGCCAGAAGTGGAAGTGGAAGTTCAAGAGGTTGAATACTATCCTTGATATAAAAAGCTAAACAAGAGTTAGAGGCCCTAAGTTCAAGTCCTAGTGCCAGCATGCACATTTGTGTGTGCATGCACAGAGAGAGAGAGAGTGTGTGTGTGTGTGTGTGTTTGTACTGACACCAGAGATACACAGTTGCCCATTGGGTATTTTCTTTGCTGCTGTGTAATTGTAATTCATTTGGGGTCATTTTGCTGCTCTGGCTTCCCCAGCATAGTTCAGGCATCCCAGGGGTTTTGTGAGGGTGAAGTGGAAACTGGGGGCCCCCTGAGCGGAGATGCCTGGTCTAAATTAGCCATTGTCTAACCTCTGCGTCTTGGGCTTTGCATTCTTTCTCTCAGAAGGCTCCTGGGAGAGACCGGGCCTCCCAGGACTGCTGACCTGCTTTTCTTGGGGTCTCCGGAGCCAGAGGAAGGACCAAGATGCCTCCTGTTCCCGAGACCCAGCTCAGAGTAAGTGTTTCATTTGCTTGTGCAGTACTCTAAGGACACTGGTCTTAAGTATGGTGGATTAACAGCCAGGAGCTCTGTGCTCCATGCTCCTCGGTAGATCCAGGGTCAGCATGTGAGCCAGGTGTCTGTCCCTCCAGGCTATGGGCTCAGGTACAGTTTTGTTTTGTGGTTTTTGTGGGGTGTGTGTGGGGTGGTGTTGCCAGTCCTGCAGCTTGAACTCAGGGCCTGGGCACTGTCCCTGAGCATCTTTTGTTCAAGGCTAGCACTCTACCACTTAAGCCAGAGTGCCACTTCTGGCTTTTTCTGTGTATGTGGTACTGAGGAATGGAACCCAGGGCTTCATGCATGCTAGGCAGGCGCTCTACCACTAAGCTACCTTCCCAGCCCTCAGGCTCAGTTTTGTAGGACTTCACCCCAGGAGTCTTCACCTGGTGAAAGATGGGTGAGGAGGACTAGGGGGAACTTGGTATCCCAGGGAGCCAGCAACGTCTGAGCAGGAGAGGGAAAGCTTTCCATAGGCAGAAATGGGAAGGTCCATCTGGTGGCATACATCTGTCAGCCTAGCTGTTCAAGGTACTGAAATCACTATTAAAAGCCAGCCCAGGCAGGAAAGTCTAAGAGACTCAGTTATTTCCAATTATCCAGAAAAAAAAGCCAGAAGTAAAGCTGTTGTTCAAATGATAGAGCGCTGGCCTTGAGGGAAAAAACTAAGGGATAGCACTCAGGCGCTGAGTTCAAGGGACAGTACTGGCAAAAATAAAATACAATACTTTTTAAAAAAATTGCCAGCCAAGCTTAGTTGCACAACCTTTAATTGCAGCTATTTGGGAGGTAGAAATTGGAAGGATCATAGATGGGAAGCAGGGGGCAAAGGGAGGTTAGAAAGAACTCATCTCGACAAATAAAATGGACTTGCTGGCTCATATCTGTAATACCAGCTATGTCAGAGGCAACTGTAGAGGATCTGGGTCCTAGGCTAGTTGCAGGCAAAAATAAAAGACCTTGTTTTTAAAAAATAAGGCAAAAAAGGGTGGAGGTTTAGCTCAAATGGTAGAAAACTTGCCTAGTAAGTACAAGGCCCTGAGTATATACCCCAGTACTGCCAAAAATAAAATAAAAATGGCACTTATAAACCGCTGTAGTTATCCTCAAACTCCAAAGAGGATTTGTTCCAGGACCCTTTGTGGAAAATAAACTTTGCAAGCACTAAAACCCATTATACAAAATGGCATACTATTTGTATATAACCTATGTATTTCTCCCATGTATTTTAAATCATCTCTAGATGATTTATAATCCCTAATAAAGTGTGAATGCTATGAAAATCATTGTTGTACCATACTTTTAGTTAATAATGACAGAAATGCATACATGTTCAAATATTTTCAGTGTATGCACTGTTCAAATATTTTCAATGTATTCCTTTTCAAATATTTTCAAAACAACATTGGTTGAATCTGGATGAATTCAGGGATAAAGAGAGCTCACTGTATATTTATAACCTACATAACAAATATAGGATATTGTTCTTGCCTACATTTGGACAGACTATTTTTGAAATCTGCTTTACCAAAAACATTGTGACTATCCACAGCAACATCATCATGTTTTATCTTTCTTTAAAAAAGTAAAAACTAGCTGGGCACTGGTGGCTCATGCCTGTAATCCTAGCTACTAAGGAGGCTGAGATCTGAGGATCATGGTGCAAAGCCAGCCTGCCCATGAGACTCTTGTCTACAATTAACCACCAGAAAATTGGAAGTGGCACTGTTGCTCAAAGTGGTAGAGTGCTATCCTTGAGCAAAAAGAGCTCAAGGACAGTGCCTAGGCCAAGAGTTCAAGCCCCATGACTGACAGTAACAACAACAACAAAAGTAAAAATTAACATGCATTTGTAAGTCAGAGAATTCCTATGTATACTTTGCCCAGTTTCTGCCAGTGGTAACATCTGATAAAACTATAGTGCATGGACATTGACCAAAATGAACTGAGCAACTCAATGGCAGCAATGGGAGGGAGGGAACAAATGAGAAAGAGGGAACAGCTGATGCTATGCAAAACAAAAGAAATGTACATATCACCCAATGTGGAAGAAATAACTGTATTGCAAAGCTCATAGAACTCATAAACGTTATAGACCATGATAGACAATTTGCCCCATGAAAGTTAGAATGTATTTGTGTCTTTTAACTAAGCATCACTATCCCACAGTACTGTGAAATTTGGAAAATTATGTAACCACTTAATCACAATAAAAAATTTGAAGAAAAAAAACTATAGTGCAGTTAGATATCATGGCTTACGGCATGATATATATAATATATATTATTTATATATATGTACATATATATAATCATAGTTATTCAGGAAGCATAGGAGGATCATAGTTCCAGGCCAACTCTGGAAAAAACAATTCACATAACTCTTAACAGAAAAAACTGAGTGTGGTGATATGTGGCTGTCATTCCAGCTACATAGAAAGAGTAAATAGAGGATCGTGGCCTGGGCAAAAAGTGATACATCTCAAAAAAAGAGTGCAGGGATCTGCCGGGCGCTGGTGGCTCACGCCTGTAATCCTAGCTACTCAGGAGGCTGAGATCTGAGGATCGTGGTTCAAAGCCAGCCCAGGCAGGAGAGACCGTGAGACTCCTATCTCCAATAAACCACCAGAAAACCGGCAGTGGCGCTGTGGCTCAAGTGATAGAGTGCTCGCCTTGAGCTGAAGAGCTGAGGGACAGCGCCCAGGCCCAGAGTTCAAGCCCCACGACCGACAAAAAAAAAAAAAAAAAGTGCAGGGCACCCATGACTAATGCCTCTAATCCTAGCTACTCCTGGACCTGTTATCTGATGATCCCAGTTCGAAACCAGCCCAGACAAACAAATCCAAGAGATTCTTAACTCGTTAACCAGCAAAATGTTGGAAGTGGAGGTGTGGCTCAAGTGGTACAGCACCAGCCTTGAGTGAAAAAGCTATGGGACCAGCATCTAGACCCTGAGTTTAGGCCCCGTGACCAGCACAAGAAATATATGTAACTAGAGCAAAAAGGGCTGGAGGCATGGTTTAAGCTGTAGAGTGCTACCCTAGTAAGTGTAAAGCCTTGGGTTTAAGCCCCAGTACTCCTCCCCCCCCCCCCCACACACAAAATTATGAGTGTGGCTTAACTCTGTGGAATTCCATGCACGTTTCCCCCTCCTCCCTTTCCCATTCCTCCTGTTTTCTTTTCTGTGGTGCTGGGGACCAAGCCTGACCTTGCACACAGTAGGCAAGTGCTCTACCATGGAGCTACATTTCAGCTCTTTAACAGCTTTTTTTTTTTTTTTTTTTTAATATTAGCACTCTTCCTTGAAATCAGGTCCTTGTACTCTTGCTTGGCTTTTTCTTGCAAAGCTGTAGCTCTACCACTTGAGCTACAACTCTACTTCCAGCTTTTTCCTGGTTAACTAAAAATAGTCTCACAAATTTGTCTGCCTGGGTTAGCTTTGAACCTGGATTTAAGATCTGAGCCTCCTGTGTAGCTAGGATTACAGGTGTGAGCCACTAATGCCAGGCTGATTGGCTTTTTTTTTTTTTTTTTTTTTTGCCTGTCCTGGGCTTGGGCACTGTCCCTGAGCTCCTTTTTGGTCAAGGCTTGAGCTCTACCACTTGAGCCACAGTACCACTTCCTACTTTTTTTGTGATTAATTGGAGATAAGAGTCTCCTGGACTTTCCTGCCCAGGTTGGCTTCGAACCAAGATCTTTATATCTCAACCTCCTGAGTAGCTGCTAGGATTACAGTCATGAACCACCAGTGTCTGGCTGGATTTTTTTTTAAATTGTGAAAATACTGTAGAGGGGTTACAATTACATGGGCAAGATAATGAGTACATTTCTTATCAAGCATTGTAGCCTCCTCCTTTGTTTCCCCTTCCCATCCCTTCCCAATCCCCCCCTCAATCCTCCCTGCCCTCCCCCCCCTGCTGGGTGCTAGTGGTGGCTCACAACTATAATCCTAGCTACTCAGGAGGCTAGGATCATGGATCCTAGGCTAAGGATCATGGTTCAAAGCCAGCCCGGGCCGCAAAGTCCATGAGACTCTTATAGCCAATTAACCACCAGAAAACTGATGTGGCACTGTGGCTCAAGTGGTAGAGCACTAGCCTTGAGCTGAAGAGCTGAGGGACAGCGCCCAGGCCCAGAGTTCAAGTCCCACGATGGACAAAAAAAAAAAAAAATTGTGTGTTTCAGTCCTGGAGTTTCAGTCCTGGAGTTTGAACTCAGGGCCTGGGCACTGTCCCTGAGCTTCTTTTGCTCAAGGCTAGCACTCTTTCTACCACTTGAATCACAGCTCCAATTACAGCTTTTTTGGTAGTTTATTGTAGATAAGCCTCATGGATTTTCCTGCCCAGGCAACTTCCAACCACAATCCTCAGACCTCAGCTGTCTGAGTAGCTAGAATTACAGGCATGAGCCACTAGCTCTGGCTGTTTGGCTTTTTAAAGTAGTTACTTGGCAGGGTGGACTGTCTCCCTTTCAGTCCTCACTGTACCATCTCATAAACTTTGTCTTCTCATTGGTCATTCCTTTTCCTGTGATCCAGGGAACTCCCAGGATGTGGAGGAAGAGCTGGCACTGACTGCCATGTTTCCCAATGGAGACTGCGAAGATCATGGAAATGGATCTAGGGCCCAGGAGAGCATCGTCCATCTTCCTCCTAAGCCCACAGGAGATAGGAGATGAAGGCTGAACCCTTGGGCTGTCCCTGGCTCTGATCTCAGCCTGGAATCTGGCCCTTCTTACTGAGCCCATGTCTACACATGGACCTCACCTGCTGGGAGCTGTCATTTCACTGTTGCCAGCTAGGCAGTGGGACTTGCTAAGACAAACAGAACCAATCACAGTGAGACTGATTTGTCTCTGGACCTTGGTTTCTCTAAACTGGAGACAGTTGGCTTTCTACTTTAAGGCTGTGCTCTGGTGGCAGGTGTTCAAGGGTAAAGCTGGGTCAGAAGTCATCAGATCTAGCCAGGTGCCAGTGCCTCACACCTGTAATCCTAGCTACTTAGGAAGCTGAGGAATACAGTTCAAAGCCAAGCCCAGTCAGGAAAGTCTGTGAGATTCTTAATCTCTAGTTCACCAACAAATGGCTAGAAGTAACGCTGTGGCTCAAGTGGTAGAGTGGTAACCTTGAGCGCAAAAGTGCAGAGACAGTACCAGGCCAGGTTCAAGCCCTAGAATTAGTACAAAAAAACAAACAAATGAAAAAACCCTTCATCAGATCTATGCCTTTGGACTTGTCTTTCAACCTCTGAGGCTTCTGTTTCCAAGATGATTGAAGGCCGGCTAGGCCAGCAGCTTTCAACAAGTGACCAGGCAACGTGTGAGTCCACGAGCGCATGTCGGGGATCATTGTGACTTGTGGGGCACCCCGGGCATTTCGTGGGCATCTCACGATGTTCAGGACAGTCCAACAGCAAAGAACTGGTTTGCTCAAGAAACTGGAGGGGCTAATCCCGTCTCTCTGTCATTCTAGGAAGAGTCACCTCCAAGCTTCCTGGGGCCTTGGCTGTCAGCACAAGCCAAAATAAAGAACTCAGTGTGAGCGTGGCGGCTTGTTGGACCACAACCAAGATTGTCTGTGTGTTGCACAGCCAGGACAGAAATAGCCTTGCACTCCTGTGAGAAGAAAGGGCCCCTCTCTCCTACTCTTTCTCATGTCCACATTGACTTTCTGCGCCAAGTCCTTTGACGATAAGATTACTGGGAGCTGCCCACAGAACAAGGGAGAGCTAGGGGTGTAGGATGCTCAGGCCTCTGACCCCCAAGGTCAGAGCAGATTAAGCCCAAAGGTTCTTGAATCCTTACATCCTCTGTGTGTGCGAGTCCAGCAGGGGGTGAGGAGTAGAGAGCTGTCAAGGCCATGATCACGCACAGGGGCAACTTGGCTTTATCTCTGTCTTCCTTGCCTGCTCTTCGAGAAGCCAGTCTTTGGAAGTGTGAGCAGCTCCTGATTTTCCCTGGTGGGGAGCCCAGAGAAGCAGCCAAACCCCTTCATTCCTTTCTGATTCACTGGGCAGACGGCATTTGTGCCTGTTCTTTGCCTATGCACCCAGCAAGTGGCTGCATACTTCGAGAAGTAATCTCAGCCCCTCTGGAATGGAAGCAACTTGGAGGTTAGGGAAGAGGCTGTGGAGGGGACGGCCCTTTCTTCTCTGTAGTAAGGAGCCTCTTGCTACCTCTGCCCTGCACCATGCAATGCTGTGAGTTGGGGCCTGATGGCATCTTGGGCTTGGGTGGCAGCAGTCACCATGTGACTAATCCAGTATTGTCTCCCCATTAGATAGATGACAGCCAAGGACATTTCGATTCATTGATAGTGCTGATTTTCCTTTTCAATGGAAGAGATGGATATTTTTGAAGATGCTATATTTTTCTATTTCTCTACTGATTTCTGTGGAGTTTTATTTGGTGGGAGGAGGGGCCTTTGGGAGCGAGGCATTTGTCTGAGGCAAAAGTAACAAGACTGAAAAATCCTTTGTATTTGTTGCCAATATCTGCAACTTGGCATATTAAAAAAAAAGGTTGCGCATTTTAAAAACCTAGTTTGATGTTATGGCTTCACGAGGCTGAGATCTAAGAATCCCAACTTGAAGCCAGCCCAGACAGACAAAGCTGTGAGACACTTATCTCTAGTTAACTAACAAAAAAACAAAAAACAGAAGTGAGGTGTGGGTCAAATGGTAGAGCCCCCCAGCCTTGAATGAATAAACTGGCCAAGAGAATGAGTCCCTGAGTTCAAATCCTAGTACTGGTACCCCCAAAATAAAAGGTTTTCTGGGTGGTAGATGGGTCATGGCTTCTCTGTGATTTACCCTTCTTACTCACTCGGAACCCCTCTCCCATTCCATTCTCCCAGAAGGTGGAGATGGCCTGAGGGAAACCATGGGCCCTGAAAGAGGTCAGTGACCCCCACACCCACCCGGAGCCATGGGCGGGAGCGCCAGCCAGGCCACCTGTGGGCTCTCCAGTACAAACTGCTAGTGTAGCATAGATTTTTGCTACTTTCAACTTGACTGAATTATTCTTTCCTATCTAATAAAACCAAACAGTTCCTCAGTTACTTCCTTATCAAATGCAGAACCATCTTCCCATTTCTTATGCTGTGTTCCTCACAGGGACTTCTTGTGCATTGGAGTTCTGTGCAAATGGTGAAGCTTCTGGTATAGTCTGTGACCTGAAAGTCCTCCAGCCACAGTGACATCTCCACAGCCCTGCTGGTTGGATTTTTTTTTTTTTTGATTGATTGTGGGACTTGAACTCAAGGTCTGGGTACTGTCTCTCAGCTCTTTCATTCAAGGCTAGTACTCTAGCCCTTTGAGCCACAGCACCACTTCTAGTTTTCTGGTGGTTAAAAGGAGCTAAGAGTCTCACAGACTTTCCTGCCTGGGTTGGCTTTGAACCATGATCCTCAGATCTCAGCCTCTTAAGTAGCTAGGATTATAGGCATGAGCCACCAGTGCCCAGCTTAAAACAATGTTTTTTGTTTTGCTAGTCCTGGAGCTTGAATTCAGAGCTTGTGCACATCCCTGAGTTTCCTTTGCTTAAAACTAGCACTCTACCACTTGAGCCACAGCGCTACTTCTGGCTTTTTCTGTTTATGTGGTACTGAGGAATCAAACCCAGGCCTTCATGCATGCTAGGCAAGCAATGTACTACTAAGCCACCTTCCTAGCCCTCAAGACAGACTGACAGCTAGATAGAGATAGATATATACACACATATAAATACATATATATATACTTATTCTTATTTTTTTAGGTGCTCTCTAAGCACTCTACCACTAAGCCACCTTCCCAGCCCCCAGGGGTGGCTTAGTGGTAGAGTGCTTGCCTTACATGTATGAGGCCCCAGGTTCGATTCCTCAGCACCACAGAAGCCAGAAGTGGCTCTGTGGCTCAAGTGGTAGAGCACTCACCTTGAGCTAAAGAGCTCAAGGCTCAGAGTTCCAACCAAAAATTATATGTGTGTGTGTGTGTGTGTTTACATATACGTGTTTAACAGGAGCTAAACTGACCCAAACTGAGTTTCATATTTGTTGTATTTGTGTTATAGTTTGCTTCCAAGAGTCCTCAGTTGAAAACCCAAACCTCAGATAAACCTACAAAGGTAAACTGGGCACTTGTAGCTCACTTTTGTAATCCTAGCTACTTAGGAGGCTGAGATCTGAGGATCACTGTTCAAAGCCAGTCCAGGCAGAGAAGTCTGTGAGACTCTTCTCTCCAAATAACTACCAAAAAGCCAGAAGTAGACCTGTGGTTCCAGGTAGGATACTGGCATTGAATGCAAAAGCTAAGAGACAGTACTGAAGCCCTGAGTTCAAGCCCCAGTACTGACACCAGCAAATCCCAAAAGAAAAAAAAAATCCCTACAAAGTACCAAGTACTCATGCCATTATACCTGCACATATCACCATAAGCTACCGATGACTCTTAACTTGAAGGCCATCCCGGCTTTAGAGTTCCCCACAATGACATGGCTGGACTTTGTCCTCTTGGCACAGCAGACCCAGCCAGCCAGGGGAGGAAGCTGGCTTAGGAGGGCTGCGTGTGCCCTCTGACCTGCGTTTGTGTGTGAGGATTGGGACACAGGTGGAGTTTGGCTAGGGCAGCCTGCAACTTGTGTAACTGGTGGGATACAAGGCACCCCCTTCCGGTGTCTTGGCTGCTGGACCAGAACCTCTGGTGGCCTTACACTTTGGGGGGCATAGGCTACCCCCTGGGCTGTAACAACCTTGATAGAACCTGGGGGGATCCTACAGGTGAGGGAAGAGAGAACAGCGCCATGGGGCTGAAGCTTCCTCCCAGACTCCCAGCGGGTTCCTGCCCCCACAGGCTAAGTTGGGCTTGCTTTATCTTCCTCTGGACTCCTTGGGCGCTTAGTTTATTCCTGAGACCGAACTCTCCTTTTGAGTCCTGAGTTCTTTTTCTGACTGGCCAAGGAAGTCTCAGAGTGGGATGCTGCTTCCATCATCACCCTCATCACAAAGGAAGCTCTCCCCACCCACCCACCTCCCCGCGGACTGCTCACTCCACACTTCTGGCTGTCAGGGAGCCACTCCTGGCCCCTTCCTCCCTGCCAGGAGTGGGGGGTCTCTCTACCGTCTACCCCCTCCTTTCTGCTCTGGTCTGGTCCACACCAACAGCTCCCAACAACAAGCAAGACTGTAAAGGGCCAGGCCTGAATGGGAGGTGAAAGGAGCGGGTTCAAGAGAAACCTAACAGCCAGATGCGGCGTGGTTTACACCTGTAATTCCAGCAACACAAGAGGCTAAGATCTGGGCAGGAAAGTCCATGAGACTCTTCAGTTGGCTAATAAAAAAAGCCAGAAGTGGGGGTGTGGCTGAAGTGATAGAGCATCAGCCTTGAGCACAAAAGCTCAGGGACAATGCCTTGAGTTCAAGCTCCAGTAGTGGCACCAAAAAGGAAGGAAGGTGGGAGGGAGGGAAAGGAAAGGAAAGAAGAGAAAGGAAGAAATAGGAAAGAGGGAAAAAGGAAATTTAAGGCAAGGCATTTATGTGGCTTTCCATTTTCTAGTAGCCTTATCAAAAAGTTAAGATTAATTTTAATTTTTTTTATTTAGCTCAAAATATTTTATGTTGTTGGGGATTAAACTCAAAGTCCTGTGCTTGCAAGAGTTTTACCACTTGAGCCATAACCCCAGCCCTCTTGCTTTTTTTTTGCCAGTCTTGGGGCTTGAGTTCAGGGCACTGTCATGAGGTTTTTTGCTCAAGGCTAGCGTAGCGCTCTACCACTTGAGCCACAGCAGCACTTCTGGCTTTTCTGCTTAATGTGGTACTGAGGAATTGAACCTAGGGCTTCATGCGTGCTAGGCAAGCGCTCTACTGCTAAGCTACCTTCCCAGCCCTCTTGCTTTTTAGTTTGCTTTTCAGATAGGATTTCTCACTTTTGCCTACATGGTTTCTGGTGATCTTACCTCTCCCTCTCAGGTAGCTGGAATTACAGGCAATTTGCCACCATACCAGACTCAACATGCCATTTCAATTGCACCTTATTAATAAAGGATTTCACATTCTTTTCTGTGTGCCAAGTCTTTGAATTCAGTGAGACTTTTAGAGCACAGGATATATTTGATTTCTACCCAAAATACTCCATCTGTATTTAGATGTCATTACATTTATAATTGTAAACATTCTCAAACTGTCCCAGATTTGCTCAGTAACTGAATTATTTCTCCGTTCAACTTTACCTAATGCAAATTTCAATTAAATAAACATTGTAAGTTCACATTTCCATTTAATTTTTTATGCCGGTCCGGGGGCTTGACCTCGGGGCCTGGGCACTATTCCTGTTTTGTTTTTTTTTTTTGTTTGTTTGTTTAAGGCTGGTGCTCTACCACTTGACTCGGTAGGTCCGAAGCTCCACTTCCGACTTATTTGTACATTAGTTGTAGGTAAAAGTCTCAAGGACTTTCCCTGCCCAGGCTGGCTTTGAACCAGATTCTCTTGGATAGCTAGGATTGCAGGTGTGAGCCACTGGCACCGGCTTTAACTTGGAATTAATTTCAGAGACATAGCATAGCAGTTCAGG